AAATAGGAGCTACACTAGAGGGTTTGTCTGCCTTATTTGGGGGTCAGCGGCATATAAATGCCTTAATGAGAGAGGAGCTGGCTAGGCTGGTCAGCCTTCACAAGACGGCCGAAGCGTTCTGCAACCGTTCGGTTAAAAACTGTGAGGTGCAGACCACGCCACTCAAAAAAGTAGGCGAAAATGTTTAGGCAGCGAGCATTAGTGCTACTGTAGGTAGCAATATGCCCAAGCGGTCGAGGGAAGTTGCCTCCGAACAGAGGAAAACTCCCTCAAAAAGAACCAATGGCTCTACGGGCTACAGCTGAAACTTCAAACCAGGCCGCTCGACAGACAAACTGGAGCAGCTGGACAGTCGTTAAAGGGCGAAAGCCTATGCAAAAACGTCCCAGGACTGACGCGATTGCGATTTCAGGCGTAGGGGGTTGCAGCTATGCGGACATGCTTCGTGTAGTTAAAAGCGACCCAAACTTGAAGCATCTGAGCAGCGACGTTCAATGCATTAGGAAGACAGCTAAAGGGGACCTTCTATTGCAACTGAGTAGGAAGCCGGAGCATAGCGCTGAGGCTCTGCACGAAGCTGTAGGCAAGGCCTTGGGAGACCGAGCGGTAGTTAAAACACTTACCGAATCGGCTCAAGTTGAGTTTCGCGATCTAGATGAGTTAGCGACCAAAGAGGAGATCTTGGAGGCAATTAGGGTGGAGTTGAAGGATAGCTCACTCCCCATTGAGGCTATCAAATCGCTTCGGCCAGCTTTCGGTGGACAGCAAAGAGCTACGGTTGCTCTTCCAATTGCGAAAGCTAAAACTCTGCTCGAGCTGTCCAAAATTAGAATAGGATGGGTAGTTTGCCGTATCCGAGCCTTGGAGCAGCCTAAACGCTGTTTCAAGTGCCTCGATTACGGTCATATGGCAGCAAACTGCGGCAGCGACTGTGACTTAAAGGGCGCCTGTTTCAGGTGTGGAGAGATGGGTCACAGTGCCAAAGCATGCACCAAGCCACCAAAATGTAGCCTCTGCATCCGGAAAGGTGAAAAGCAGACGGACCATTCAGCAGGCAGCTTCAAGTGCCCATCTTACCGTGAAGCTGCTCGTAAAATGAAATGTTAAGGTTTTTGCAGCTTAACTTAAATCATTGGGTTGCTGCCCAAGATCTTCTAGAGCAGACCATTAGGGAAAAATGTATAGACGTAGCTTTTCTCAGTGAGCCTCACCACTGTAGAACCAGCTGCCCTAGGACATGGTCAACAGACGTTAATGGCAAAGCTGCGTTGTGGGTATGCGGCAACTCAACGAACGTACTTTCGAATGTTGTCATTCAATGGGCTCGTACGTGGCCGATATGGTACCTTATGGCTTTACAGTTTCTATCTGGCCCCCAGCATGCAGCTCAGTGAATTCACGACGGTGCTCGACGAGCTTGCCGAGGATGCTAGGGGTCGAAAGGCCATTATAGCTGGAGATTTTAACTCCTGGGCGCTAGAATGGGGTAGCCCCACAACAAATGCCAGAGGTCCTACTGGAGATCTTCGCGACACTAGATGTTGCACTGCTCAACACTGGCCATGAGTACACCTTCAGTCGGGCGGGATACGGGTCTGTTATCGACATTACTTTTGTCACTTCATCCCTCTTTCGGGGAGCAACATGGAGCCATTGCGTTAGCTATACAGGCAGCGATCATACGGCACTTCTGTTCACAATAGGTGAGCCACCTGCCAGGGCGTCAACATTGTGGAGGGAGTCGTATCGGCTAGATACTTTTGATCCCGCGGTCTTTTCAGAGCCCATTCAGTCTCTGGGTACAATTGGTAATGCTGAGGCCAGAGCATGCCAAATGGTAGCCCAAATACAGAGTGCCTGCAATAGCAGCATGTTACGCCGCAAGCAGTTCACGCGACAACATGAGCCTACGTATTGGTGGAATACGCAAATAGGTGACATTCGTCGCAAATGCATCCAGGCGAGAAGAAGCTACCAACGGGCTCGCGGTAGGTCAACGTTTTTTGAGAAACAGTTAGCTTACCAGGCAGCTAGAAGACAGTTGAAGAAGGCCATTCGGGCAAGCAAAAGAGAATGTTTTTTACAGTTGTGCGACTCAGCCGAATATGACCCTTGGGGCAGGGCATATAAGATAGTAGTTAAAAGACTATACGCAGGTAGACAGGTGCAGTCTGTAGCTTAAATCGATTGTGGAAACACTCTTTCCAGAAAGTTTAAGCTCCATTCACGCCCCTGAGTCCGAGTCTGCTGATCAGGGCTCAACGAGCACTGAAATTGTTTTAGTTACAGAGGAAGAAATATTAGTAGTTCTCCGAGGTCTTAGAACCAACACAGCTCCAGGGCCGGACGGGATCCCAAATCGTGCGCTAAAGCTAGCCCTCGCCTTGCACCCAAGTACGTTCGCCGAATTATTTAACGAATGCCTGATCCAAGAGACGTTCCCGGCAAAATGGAAAGCCCAGAATCTGGTATTGCTACCCAAGGCTGGCAAACCACCAGATGAGCCATCTTCGTACAGACTTATCTGTCTCTTAGACACCATGGGAAAGGTGTTTGAGAAACTGATCTGCTCTAGGCTGGAGACTGCGATTGCAAGCGTCGGAGGCCTGTCACCAAACCAATTTGGTTTCCGGAAGGCCCGGTCAACAACGGACGCGCTTAACAAAGTTGTCGGTCTGGCCACTTCCGCTATTCAAGGCACCAGATGGAGGGACGGGACGAAGGAATACTGCATCATCGCGACCCTGGATGTAAGGAATGCCTTCAACACAGCTAGTTGGGATATGATACTGAATGCGCTGTCACAATATAATATCCCTAAATATCTAAGAGAGATAATAAAGAGCTACTTCAGAGGAAGAACACTGGTATACAACACGAGCGAGGGTCCCCAAACTCATACAGTGTCAGCTGGAGTACCCCAAGGCTCAGTGCTGGGGCCTCTCCTATGGAACATCATGTACGACGGCGTACTGCGCTTGGAACTACCAGCAGGCGCGCACACCATTGGCTTTGCTGATGATGTAGCTGTCGTAGCCATAGGAAAGGAGCTCAAAGATACAGAGGATATGTGCAGCGAAAGTATCAATCGCATACGAAGCTGGTTGACAGGAGCTGGGCTCGAGCTAGCGGCACACAAAACCGAAGTTGTACTAGTCAGCAGTCGCAAAAGAGTGGAAACTGCCAATATAAAGATCGGCAGCGTCACCATTGCGTCAAAGAGGGAGATAAGATATCTTGGTGTCATGATAGACACAAGATTACCTTTCCGCGAGCACTTAGAATATGTGCATAAAAAGGCAGCTGATTCTTGTAGAGCTCTCTCGAGAATCATGCTTAACACGCGGGGACCTAAACAGCAACGACGTCTCCTCCTAATGAGCGTCATTAGGTCTGTCATCCTCTATGCTGCGCCAATATGGGCAAGAGCGATGGCAACGCCGAGCTACAGCCGAGGCATTTGCGCGATCTACAGGCTGAGCGCAATCAGAGTCAGCTGCGCTTTCAGGACTATCTCCGATGACGCGGCGCTCGTCATAGCCGGTATGGTGCCACTGGAGTATTTGGTCGCCGAAGCCGTGGAGCGGAATTCGCACGGGCCTACGCGACTCAACGCTGTCAGGGCGAACTGCATCGCACGATGGCAAAGAAGGTGGAATAGCTCAGCTAAAGGGCGGTGGACGCACAAGCTCATCCCGGAGCTTGAACCCTGGGTTAACCGCAAACATGGCGAGGTTAACTTCTACCTTACGCAGATCCTCTCGGGTCATTGATGATTTCGGAGCTATTTGAAGCCTTTGGCCACGAGGAATCTGACGAGTGTCCCTGGTGCGAGCGAGGGCATGTGGAAGACGCCAACCACATTCTTTTCGAATGTGGACGGTTCCTGGAGGAGATGCGTCGTCTGGAAGAGGCAGTGGGCCGCTCCATCAGAGCACACACATACACAAACACACACATACACAAACACAAACACACAAACATACACACACAAGCACCCACGCACAGACGGACAGACAGACAGACGGACAGGGCCAAATCAAGTCAGCTCATCGCCCTGATCAAGAATATATATACTTTGTGGGGTCTGCCACGCCTCCTTCTGCCTGTTACATACATTTCAACAAAACCATTATACTCTGATTTCCCATTGAAAATCTACTAATCTTCATTTTCAAACAAGCTTAAATTATCGATAGCACTATCTAAATGATTCGAATTAAGCCGAACCACTGACCAGAGAACACATAGACTAGACATGTAGTACAAAGTTTTTCAACACCGAAAAATCTGTCTCCTAAGGCCTATCAATTTCGTATTTGCTCGGCTCTTCACTTTTAGGTCCGAGCTACGAAAATATGCGCTCGACCGAGATGGTCAAATGTTGAATAATATCAAATAATCAAATATGTATATGTATGTATGCATGTGAGCACAAGCGGCAGCTCAAGAAAATTGAGATTTCTTCGCGTTAGACTGCCGTTTTTTCCCTTACGTGTACAAAATATTTGCGTTTTCGTTATTATTTGTGGGAAGGGTATGAAAGCGTTGGTGCGCATAAAGAAAAAGTCTTCGCGATGAGCATGCACACACACACAGTCTCGCTTGCTACATGTACTATGAGCATTTGTATGCCTGTGTGCGGAGCTCTTGCCGCTCGTAGCAATTTTACAGTCCAGCATTTGCATTTGGTCGATCTTGTGAAGTCCTCACATACATATGTATGTATGTATGTATATACATTTTTATATACGCATGGGATGTGCTGCTCACAATTATGGGATATCACTTGTAGAAGCATTTGTATGCCTGTGTGCCTTTACATGTGCGTGTGTGTATATCTTTGTTTGTATGCTTGGGAGATGAACATTGGCGAGTGCCTACCTCAAGTTTTAATGGAGTGTTCGCGCATGAAGCGGAATGATTGTGCTTTCGCATATTTTCGTAGCCCGAACCTAAAAAGTTAAGAGCCGAGCAAATACGAAATTGATAGGCACTAGGAGACAGATTTTTCGGTGTTGAAAAACTTTGTGCTACATGTCTAGTCTATGTGTTCTCTGGTCAGTGGCCGAACTAAAAGTATGTTCTCCAAAGTCTCATGACTTAATCGATTTCGATTATCGGACAGCACCAGTTTCAACGAGGAAAAAGCTCTCTCTATGGTAACCTGCATGTGTAAAGAAATGTATATATTGTTTTTATCTTTATTTTGTATTCATTCAAACACAAATACTTACTTGAGTTGGCGGTATAGCAAAACATACTTTGCTTAGGGCATAAAGTTCGGGATCGGTTGACTTTCTGTATTTCCAGAAACATAAAACATCTGTATTCGCTTTCATCACTGGTGACTTTAATGTTTCAATCTTTGCATAGACATTACTTGACTCACTTGGAAGAACCATTCTAGCACTTAAAAAATCGTCCAATAGCTTGAAATTATTGTCTTTGGTGTGTCCAGAGTCCGTATCCAACGAATTAGTCGAATATGGCATACTGGGATTGGGACCGAAAATTTTTATTTTTCCTACAATGTCTTTAAAAAATCGATTGCTCTTTCTTTTTGTAAATTGTCTATAATATTATGGAATCTGGGGTCCAAATAAAGGCAAGTGTCGAAGCCCACGTTTGACACTAATGTTTTGGTCCGTGCTTCCATACTTTGAAGAAGATTGTTTGCAATTATAGAAATTATTTAATCCTTATTTGAAGAGTATGTCGATAAAATCTGATTAGTGGCTAGTTTGCAAGTTAGCCAAATTGAAAATTTTTAATTTCAAATAAATCACGGCAGCCGTTTGAAGACTTTCGAATGTATTTTGTAAGGTTGCGGCATTGAAATAAACACTTCTTTATAACTGTGTGTTTGGTAACATCAAGTGCCCAAAGCTGTGCAGTGTGGGCTGCACATCGGCATATTTGTATATCAGCCACAAACATGTTTTCGTTTTTTTTCAAAATTATAAATTTGTCTTGCGTACTCAATATTCTTTTGCTCAATAAATGTTTCGTCCAAATCTTCATCGCTTGTGTTCATTTGTGACAAAATTTTTGAAGGTTTTAACATATTGGCCCCATTATCCGATGTTATTGATACAATTTGGCTCAGAGATATTTCGTACTTTTCTAAAACAGAAATAATTTCCTTAGCAAGATTTTTAGATTTGCTGGAGTCAGCTCCTTTAAGTTCCACCATGCCAAGAATTTGTGATTTTATTTCATTTTTGCTTATGAATTGGGCACTGATGCCAAAAATATTTCGCCCAAGCCGCGTTGCACTATCATTTTTTAAAGTAATAAGCGATTTTTACTGTCTTGTTTTATTTCAAGTCTAACATTCGCTGCCACGTGTTTAAGAACAGACTTGCATTTGCTTCCATTCAACTTAAAATTTATTCCATGCTTTGTTTCAAGCCCTTGACATATGGGGTCAATTATATTGCGCATATTAATTGAATTAAGCCCATGGAATGGAACGCTTTCTTCAGTTACAAGACCAATATATGACCGAATCAATGTTTTTCTGTTGATTTTCACTTTTACTAGTTGATGTTTTAAATTTTTAGAAGTGGCAACAGAATCACTAACCTCACTTCCTTTATCATCGATTTCAATTTCGTGCAACAATAAATGCTTTTTTAAATTAAAAACGCGATCTTTTTTTAAAAAGTCTTTCGCATTTTTTGCATTTAATGTAATCGTCATCACTTGCATCGAAATTCATGTTTGCACATTGAATCAATACTTTGAAGTGCCACATTTTCAGTCTACTACAAAGCAATATTAAACAAGTAAGAAGGCTCTAGTCGAGACTGCTCGACTAGGAGATACCCTGAACCCTCCAAGCTGATATTCTAATCATTCTGGACTTCTTTTATGCACACATACATACACATGCACTTATAAGAACGCGCTCTGCAAACTGCGCAGTAAGCAGCGGCTGCGCTTGGGCTGCGCTGCAATGTGGGCAATATTATGACAATTTATTTGTTGAATAATTTCTTTTGTAGACATACAATCTTAATGAAACTTAGAGCGTAATCATATGGTTAAAATGTGTGTACATTCCAAAGCACAAGTCTCTAGTACTTGAAATCCGTTTACAAATATAGGGCGAATGGGGCGTGGTATCCAAAATCTGTAAATTACAAAATCTTGGTATCCATTAACTTTATATACAACGCTAATTTTAAGTCTCCAGTGTTCAAATTAGGCTGAAAAAACAATGCCGATTTTTCGATTATTCTCGATAAAGAAGTTATCGGATGAGTTATCGAAAAAATATGATAAACTTGTACTGCCTATGGTATACACGATTTCATCTCGCTCTCTGTTATCAGCTATCGCTTTCGCTATCCGTTTTCAGCTACCGCTACGGCAGAGCGTAGCACATCATTTCGTTTTGTGCTATTGCTATCACTACAGATTTTAACACAACAAACTACGAGAGCAGAGCACAAACTTTTTTTGTTAGGCTACGGCAATATTGCATAGCACAATTTTTATTGCTATTGCTGCTACAAAGTAGTTTTTGCAAACGCTGCTTCTGGCATTCCTCGCACCGCCTCACATACCTGGCTGCATCCCAGAACATGCCCGGCCAGTAGTATCTCTGTGCCAGTCTCATGGCCGTCTTCCTCACGCCTTGATGTCCTACCGTGAGAGCATCATGGCACCCTTGCAGTACTCTCCTCCTCTGGTGAATGGGAACACCCAACTTCCAAGGAATAAAATCCTCCTCGTCCGTTCGGTGGCCCAGGTTACGGTATAACTGTTCTGCTTCTGGTAGGCGCAGCGCCAATTTCACCTTGGTTTCCGTCGAGTAGTTGTTGCTCTGAACAAATGCTGAGAGCCTCTTCCTCAAATCTTCTACTCGTCCCTCTCTGTCTATCCTGAAGTCCCGAGTTATCACGATCAACTCCTCCTTGCACCGCTGGTAGATTCAACCGACGCTTAATCCTGGGTTATGGTACTCGGCATCTTCCATTTTGGTGCCTCGATGGTTTCTTTACTCTTATCCGATTATTCTAGTCTTATCCTATTACAGCTTATTTTATTTACTTGCTTATTCTATCTTTATACGTTTCTATTTTTTTTATACCCTGAACCCATTCAAATTGGGAAATCAGGGTATAATGGTTTTGTGCAATATATATAACAGGCAGAAGGAGGCGTGGCAGACCCCATAAAGTATATATTCTTGATCAGGACGACGAGCTGAGTCGATATAGCCCTGTCCGTCTGTATGAGCAAAAGGATTTTAGAAGATATTAGAGCTAGAGAAATTTGGCATGCATACTCGTATTTTTATACCCTGAACCCATTTTCAATGGGAAATCAGGGCGACGAGCTGAGTTAATTTGGCCCTGTCCGTCTGTCTGTCCGTCTGTCCGTCCGTCTGTCCGTATGTTTGATCGCGTCGATTTCAGAGGATATATGTTATGTTATGTTTTTAACGAATAAAAACATTTGAGTTCAAGTCAGATGTCAGTATAGCTAATTGTGAATGATTTTTAATTTTTTTTAAATTTGTCAAATATTCAATAGAATATGTAGATCATATGCTGAAAGTTTCACGAGAGTTCTCAGTGAGAGTTAACAGACGTGTTTACTTTTGTGCTCTTCAATTATTCTTGTTTTCTTAGTTAATTATTCTTATTAAATTTCACATAATTGCGGTTCGGTTGTATATAGTAAATATCTATATTTTTCCTGTGCAAGGTTTGATCCGTTGTTCACTGTGTTTTTAATAATTTGCTTTTTTAATTTGTGAAGCTTTGTGTGCAGTGTAGGTTCATTAGTTTCATTATTTGCATTTTTGCTTTAGTGTTTCTATTTGTTGGCGCTCTCCCCAAGTTTGTGTGAGTGTGTGCATAAGTTGGTTGCTCTCACTATCTACGGTTGTTGTATTTGCCTCTCTTAATTTTTGATTTTTGTGCTGTGCAAGTATACTCTCTCGCTGTGGACTTTTGATTTGCTCTGTAACGGCTGTTTGTTGTTGGACTCGCTCTCAACACATTTATACCTCTCTTGGTTTTTACATTTCTGTTTACATTCAGTAATTTTGTGATCTATCCCAATTGCCAATATGAGTTGCTGCAAGAAAGCTTGCATTTTCAGGCAAACAGTTGATTCTGCACAAGCGCAATTTATAAGTTGCTGGCTGTGTGATAACTTGATGCATACTAAGTGTGCAGGTCTTACTGGGCGTGAATATGACAAGATTATGTCTACTACTAAAGCTGGTAGTGGAGGCATACGCTGGTCTTGTCTGATTCGCTTGGAAAAGCAGATAAACTTTTCTAAAATGTATAGTGCTGTGAGGGCCCAATTTTTAAAACTGAAGAAGATTTCTATGCAGTTGACCAGTGACATGGCTGCTGCTGAAGAAATATTAAATCAGTATGGCTTTGAAACTCCTCTCTCTCAATTGGAGACTCCTTTGTTGTCGGTAACTCCTTCTGTAATAGTACCGTCACCTAATTCACTTGCTCCTCCCTCACCTTGCGCTTCTGTTTTGTCGTCGGCTCCCGATTCTCTAGATCCTCCTTCACCTTGACCCATATCTGTTTCTCCTATTGAGGCTTCTATTGAAACTCAAGCCCCTGTCCCAAATTTGGTTACTACTTCTATTGTTGCTCAAACAAAGAGTGACAATAAGTCAGCCTCTCCTAGCATTACCTTATCTGTTGTCTCTCCTAGAAAGCAAGTTTTCATATCTAGGCTTTCATCTGACACTACCATTGAGGCAGTATCGGCTTTTATTTTAAATAAGATTCCGGCTAATGTTTTTATATCGAAGTTTAGTTTTGCGACACCGCGTGAAATTGCTTCGTTCAAAATCAATGTGCCTGTAGAATACTTTAAAACCCTTTGTGACCCTAATTTCTGGCCACCTCATGTAGTTGTTCATGAATTTAAACCCAACAAGTAAGAACGTTGCAGTGGGGCGATACCGATTGCAGAAGACTCATTCACAGCCCAAACCCTGTCAACCAGAGTATATAGTGCAATTTTCAAGTCTAGTGCGCAACAAAAAACAGGGCATGATCCCATTAAAATTGGAAAATCATCGATAGCTATTGCTATGATCATTGCATAATTGCATTCAAATTACATGCATATGTATATAATTTATACAATTTTGACTTTTAATAATATACATGTATTTATATCCATATATTGGATACCGGCTTCAAGCTAGCAGCAGATCAGCGTGATTTTACTATACATGTGCACACACTCATCGTCTATTCTATGCGTACAGACAGAAGCGCGCCTTTTCTCACATTCTTAGAATTTCGATTGATTTCTGGACTTTCCGTTACTGTAGTTTTGTCTGATGACGCTCTCTTATTAAGCTATTCTATTTTAGCAGCTGAGTGCTCGAGCAAAGCAATGGCGCGGGTGCTAAGGGCGACGCAAGTAACGTTAGAGTAGGGAGGTTCGAACCTCTACTATGTTTTTTTTTTTCATACATATTTCGTTTTTTATAAAATAGATATTTTATTGGGAAGGTGCGAGCTTGACTGAATGGCACTTAATACTTTTCATTTTCTTAGTCGAATAATTTTATAAGTTTAAATTTGTTTCTTCTTAAATAGCCCTCAAATATATATATGCAAATACATACATATGTATATATGTAAGTCTGCACGCATAGCATCAAGCATTCCAGCCTTATACACGCGCTCATTTGTATGTGTGTATGTATTCACACATAAATGCGTACTCTAGCATATTCTAAGAATCTCGTTGCGATTGATTTGTCTTTGCATTGTTTTTGAATTTCCAGCCGCTACACTGGTTTTTCTTTGCTATGTGGCGTCATAACAATAATATGATTTCGTTTTAACTACTGCTGATCGAAACGACGCGGTGGTGCTGTAGGCTGAAGCGCCGACGACCATTATTTTAGCTATTTTGACAAACATGCTGTTTGGGTTGGGTGCGAGTTCAAATCCCGCGGAAAACACTTTTTTGTAAATTGCAAATTTTTGTTATTTTAGCTTCTTTTAAATTTTTTTAAATTCATAAAAATGTTTCCTTTTGTATTATGAATATCTATTAAGCTTATTTATATGTACAAATGCATAAATAGATGGCTGACGCATTTAAATGTCGCAATACGGGCACTGTAAATGCCGATTGCCACGCCCCTAGTGGCCGTCGACTCCTCAATTTTAGCCAGTTCTTAGAACGAGTAACCGGTTACCTAAATGCAAAATTTGAATTCTTACGCTCAAAAAATGTGAAAATTACAGGGTATTTTTCGATATGCCACGCCCCTAAAGAGGCTTAAAAATTATTTTTGGGGCATCGATAGAGGAGGCTACCAGTAACTTAACTATCCAAATTTGAAGCTTCTAGCTCTTTAACTGTAGGAGATATAAACTTTTGCGGTTTGCCACGCCCCCTATGGGCGGACATATATCTACCATAGCTCGTTGGACTTGGGTGATCAACCCGCGTATATATACCAA